TGCCGTATTTTCTCTTTATTTTGCTCCATGTTTGCGACGCTATAACTCACGAACGACTTAAAAGAAACGACAATCAATCAAACACGTGTATATTTCCAAAAAGGTATAGCATGACCCCATGCGATGAATAAAACTAGAACTACGCACTCTCAGCGCCAACTATCGAAAATACCGCAAGACTTTTTTGACAACCAATATTTTGGCCTTCTGTGCCTCACAAAAGTAGGAGTCCATTATTAGTTATATRTAAATCAAGATTATTTCAGTTCAAGTTCAAACGAAAAAAGTTATATATAACATAATTTAAAAACTAATGATCCGGCAACATAATTCATAATTTTAAAATTCTTAATTTATTCTTCAAAATGTACRTCGTCTCTCTCAAAGTAAATCCTCTTGGCCCCAACTTACTTGTGCCAACGTCTTTTCYAATCCTCTAAATAGTTGTTGAAGGCAATTTCCAGAATAGCCTTCAATGTGTATAGCGATTCACGTTTAATCGCTTCAATTGACTCCAAACAGTTTTCCCGGAGTGGTCTTTTGAGTTTACTGAATACCCAGAAGTTACACGGAGGWAAATCAGACGAATATAGTGGTTGCGATACGATTTTGGTGGAAAATTTGGCAAAAAATATCACGAAGAATCAATGCAGTAAGCGACGGTACATTATCGTCCCRACAACCAAGAGTTGTCGGCGCATAATTTTGGCTTTTTTTTTACGAATAGCTTCGGGTAAATGACGCCTAACATTCAAATAGTATTTCTTGTTGACAGTCTGGCCAGTCGGAAGGAATTTAGAGTGCTCCACACCTCGAAAATCGAAGAAAACTGTCAASATACCTTATTTTTTTCAGCTTCGGCTCACCTTTGCYACGATATTCGGTCGATTTATATTCTGTTTTCGCGTCGTAAGCATAGATTCAACACACATCACCAGTAATACTACTTTTCATGATAACCAGGCAGACGGAAAGCACTATTTCATTTATTTCAAGCGACGCTGTTTTTGACAGAATTGAGTGATTTTGAAATTAATCGTGCTTTCACTTTTGTTATGGCTAAGTGATCTTTCAAAATGGGTTTAACATTTCCTTCCGATGTTCCAACGATGCCGGTAAGATCTCTGACTGTTAATCGGGGATGCTAAGGCATCAATTTCTTTTTTGTGAACTYTTCGAATAATTTGTAACAATCAAAAACACTTTCTCCCGATATACAATTATAAACGAAGGCCTTTTCTAATATTTTGAACGTTTCAGCACCAGAATTTGATCAATAATCGTAAAAATCGTCGAATACACTTTATGTACTTAAGAAACACAAGCGTATACAAGTATAATTATTTTGATGTGTCATACTAACCTAGAAAAAAAATTCGACGAATGGATTTTTAAATCTAAAAGCCTTAAATTTTTTTTTTACCCCTTTTAGTGATGTTTTGATTTTTTTAGAAATAGCAAAATTTGAAGATTTGGATAGTTTCAGACATTGAAAATTCTATAAAGAAGATTCTCTAAATATTTTAGTTAAGTCAACGAATCGTGGTTTTGCAAAAGACATTTTCTAGAAAAACGTTTTAAAGTTTCTTGGATGTCGGGTCACCAGTAAGTATATCTCCATTCAAAAAATCCGAAGGATAAATTTGCTACTGACGTGCTAAGAGGTCCATGGGGTATTTTTGGAGTCCTGATTACGAATTTGGGTAAACAATTTTCCATCATGTACAGGTAGTTATTGGGTCCCTACCCCGCTTGACTACAACCCAAAGAGTCAACTATCAACTCAAAAATAGCTACAAACAGCCTCTTCATTCACAATCGCAAAATGACTAGTGAAATTTGATTTCCTTTTAATCTAGACTGGAATTAAACTCTTCAGAACACTAACAACGCTGTATGTATCTTTTCGTATGTACTTACATGTGTTTGTATGTATAAATATATATGAGGTCGTAAGTGTGCCACTGCTCGATAGGCACAACGGCCAGTGGCACAATGAACGTGTTTGCCATTACTGATAATATTTGGCATCATACCACAGCTTCTGATGTTTCAGACACGAGTATAATTTTAATGTCGCAATGTTGATATTTGTACTGTTTTTGTATTTCTCGATACTCACATGTTTCTGCAGCAACAATGCTTGATTAAATTTTCAATATTTTTAGCGTTTTCCTTTTGGTAATAACCAGTCTACTTATTTTTCCCTAGATCATAGCGATAATTTTACAAAATATGTGAGTGTTTGTATACAAGTATGTGTGTATGTATGCATTTATTTAGTAGTATGTACATATGTATATTATTGTCAGCCGTACCAGTATTGATCAAATCAGTGAGTCCGATTTGCACTTTGAGCAATTATTGTATAAATATTTATAGACAAACGTGCTGTAATCGAAAAAAAGCACAACAAATTCACATATGTGCATGTATGCATGTGTGTGTGTGTATGCTGTGTATACAAAATATTAACAATAACAATTTTATAGCATTAAATTTTTTTCCTTCACACATGCTTTTATTTATTTTTTCACTCACCGCCAGCCCACCAGCTCCTGTTTGTGCATTGTTTTTGTTGCTCTTTTAATTATATTTATTTATTTAGTTTCTTATTTTTCTATTTTTTTGGTACTTAAAAATTTTTTATTGCGCGGGCGGGCGTTTGTTGGGGTCAAGTGAGGTGCGCGCACGCTTATCAGCAAGCAGCAGCAAATCATGCCAACATGCTCCTACAGCAACATAAACATATACTAATGTAAGCATATATGTGTGYGCTGCGTGCTGCGGCTTGTGGATGCTTTTTCGTACGAAAATCAGCTCCCAATCTAATGGAGTCAATTGGCAAGTGTGTGTTGATTAGCTGGTACTACAACTGCACACACACATATATACACATACCCTTACGTTTCTTGGCATGCTGAACTCAACACAAAAGGCACAATACTCGTAAAAGCAATATAACAACAACAACAACAACAAATGACAAGAGTAAACAAGTGTAGCCAGCGGTGGCATAGATTATCATTCGGTTGTTTTCTAGCGTAAATATTTAGTCGAGGACTCGTTTTAAGCTTTGACTCAGCGCTGCCGCGAGCACTCGCAATGGTGTTTACTGCTGCTGCTGCTAGTGCTTGTATTTTATGTACATATGTACATGTATTCTCGTATGTCTTGCCTGCAGGTTGTTGCCGCTATCGGCTGTCGCTTGCTTTTATGCCTTCACTCATTTAGTTGCGCACTCGTCTACGCCAAGAGCTGTGCTGCGGCRTATGGTTAACGGKAAACACATACGCTTTTTGTACGCTCAAAACGGCTTACAGGAAAAACGCGTTAACAGCGCAAAACAACACATTTGTAGCACCCGGTGGTAGAGTGCATATTGTGTGTGTTACTCATACGCCCCGTCAACTCGTTAAATGCTCGCAGTCAATTAGACAGTCGCYGCGCGGTTTCGGTCAAGGTCAACTGTGTTCACTTGCATTTCGTGTTATTTCTTGTGTTTTTTTTTGCAATTTACTAAACAATTATGAATTTGGTTTTAGTGTTGAATAAAAGACATCAAGTGATAAGGCAATGACGTTTGACTGAGAGAAAAGTGAGTTTTGGTGGCGGAAATAGTTTGTTGCCATAAATGAATGGAAATAGTTATTTTAAKAATTAATTGTGTATAAATTAAATATTTGAAAGTGACAAATAAAAAATCCGGTTGTGATATTTTGATTGCAAAGAAAATATTTTTATTGATATTCGCAAAAGTTTCATTAAAGCATTATAAAGAAGAAAAGCTCAAAGGTGACATGTAAAATATATTTAAATTTGATCAAAGAATTTGAAACAAAAAAAAAAAAAAAAAATTTGATCAAAGAATTTGAAACAAAAAAAAAAAAAAAAAGTTGCTTCAATACTATCACATCTTTCACAGATGCATTTCTTTTAGTATATAAGGGTATAAACATATATAATTTTTGTTTTTCATCGGGGAGTTTATATGACAGCTGCGAAAAAGTAACGTTTAAGCTTGGCTAAAAATTCGAAAATATTATCAACAAGGCGAAAAAATTATACTTTTTATACTTTCGCAATTTGAAAAGCCCAGAGATGGCCSAATTCTTTCAGATATGCGAATAAGGCATGTGATGTTTTGCCACAAGGCGTGAATTAAGCGGGATTGGCCGCATAGATTTTAGTCTTCACATATCTCCACAGGAAAACGGTATGATATTACACGATTTTGTTGGCCAATCGATCGGCYCAAAACGTGAATTTTTCTGCTCAACGAAGTGTTGTTGATACTAAATATCGCCGGAATCACGAGCTTCAATTTCAGTCCTTGAATAGTTGGTTATCTTGGCGCGATAACGGTCGCCATCGTCAGTGACGGTCTCATCGGCATCATTTCTAAACAAATATGRACCGATAATCCACCGACCCACAAACCACACAAAACCATTGTTTTTTCTTTTGCTTTTTCAAATAGATATTTGGCCAGAAATGGGCCTTATCACTGAGAAACTTTTTTTTTTTAATTTGAAAACGTCGGAACTTCTTGGAACTTTTCGAGAGCCCATAGACTGAAGGGATGTCGCTTAGGAAGGTCGAGTGAATTCAGTTCTTGCAGAAGCTGTATTTTGTATACTTTCTATTTAATATCTCGACGTAAACTGCACCAAGTTGTTCCCTATGTCAATTCAAGTTGCTGCAAACGGCGCCGAATCGACTTTCCACAGTCTTCGTGCACACTCACAGCTACGGCTATTTCTTTCACTGCGTGCTGTCACACGGCTCGAACAGTTCGGAGAGGTCCTTCCCGATTCTGTTGGAGCTTTTGGTATTGCTCAACATCAATTAACACAGCCGTATTAGTTTTGCGGGGATACCAAATTCAGACATCGCGGCATAAAGGCAGCTGCTTTTCGTGCTGTCATCTTTGATATTGACGAAGAAATGGTGTATGCACAGAGCATACTTAAATTCCAATCGTTGGGCATGCTTTCGTCCGACCATATTTCACAAAGAAGCTTTTGCATGAATTTATCAGTTATTTGCCGCCGTGTTTGAATAGCTCGCACGGCAATCTACCGGCTCCCGCCGCTTTGTTGTTGTTAAAACGGTTAATTGCTATTCGAACTGCCTTTATTTGTTCGATTACCTGACATATGTGTCTAAGAATCATAATTCCATTAGACACTCAATTGTTGATCTGACAGGAYGATTATGACGACCATAAAATAGATGTAGCGTGAGGTCACTGACACCGAATTTCGGTAGTAAATTTTAATAATTTCGAGTCGTTGTTGGATTGTATATCTTTCCATGATGAAAGAGCAAACTTTACTGAAAAGAAGTGTCAAAAGAGCGGGATAAATCGTTAGCGTCGTTTGCCATCCCTATTGGTCTATTTTTGTTGCATTCCTATTGAAAAACCCGTTATTCGCCAAACCAGCTACATATTTCCGAAAAATATTCTAAATATATGTATGTAGACTCGATATAGGCAAAAAGAAATCACTTCTTTGGAATTCGCAAGTTGATATTATCCMATAARWMATTAAGTATAAKATAATATTACAAAACATTCAAAAGTTCAATATGATAWACTTACTATTTGAATATCTTTGTTTTCAAAAACTACTACTTGTATGTACTACTTTTCTGTTTTCACTTATCAGCAGCAACACTTTTGCTCTTGCTTTGAACACACACACACTTATACAGCATTTTAAGCGCACATATATTCAAACTCTTACATACCAACTAATACTTTTAATGATGTGCTGTATCATTGTCTACCACGAAGTGTAAAATTTCAACAAATATTGCCCATTAGTAAATATGAAATTTGCAAATTTATTAATATAAACTAATCAATATTTATAAAACATTATGTAGACACATAACTTAGTCGCTGTTCGGTAGCTATTTTTAATTGTTTGTATGTWTTTGTTTGTATATAGTATATGTATGTTCGCGGCATTTCCTTTTCGAATTGATRTTGAAATTTTTATTTGTAATCAAAATATTGATTTTACAGCATTGTTTTCTCACACCAAATTTAATGTGCGCCTGTGTATTGGTGTTGTGTTAGGAATTYGCCGACAAAAATGAATTTTAAGGTAGCGCAAGTATTTAGGGTTGCCTAATGAGTTTTGTAAATTATGCATAAGGGGTTACAGGGGTTCGACGAATGACATATTATTTTATTAATATTATTTTCAAATTATAAACGATATATTGCATTGTGACAAAGATTTTGTGAAAATTTCAAACAAAAATATTAAAAACTCGTCAATGTCTTAGAATAAAGGTGGCTCCGCGCTGACAGCAGAACTTCTCAAAGGATCATCAAAAGTAAAAAAWAAGGAAATAACTAAAACCATAAACTAGGTATTGCACAAAGGAAAAAAAAAGACAAAAAAGTGAAACGTGTATTTTTGGTAGGCAAGTTTTTCAAATAAAATGCAAAATTTGGTGTAAATTTCTCAACGTTTTGTTGTTTTTTTTTTTTAATATTTGTAATTGTATAAAAACAAGATTCTGACCGAAGGATTTTGTTTTTAATTAAGGATTTTGTTTTAATTATTATTTGTATTTAATTATATTATATCTCGACGACCTAAGTGACAATATAGCTGACATTGAGAGTGCATCTTTTCAAAACTGTTATATTACGTGGATCAACATGAGAAAAATGGACAATGTTCTACAGATGTTATAAATTAAAGGTTTATATAGTATACAGTTAGGAGGTCGAGAAAAGGCATTTTTCAAGAATTTTTTCTAAGCAAACTATTTGGTTTATTGATTTGAACCTTGGCAGGTATATTATGACAACCTCAAACTATATTCGCATATTTTTTATTGCCAAAAATAATTATCGGGAACGTTGATATTGCCAATTTTGCAGAGGACCGCAAAAAAAGCCTCTTGCGGTGAGCACGATATCTCTGGACTGGATCATCTAAAATGCAAAAACCAATAAATTTCATTAATATAATAAATAATAATATAGTGATTGATCAAAGGAATTAACAAAAAATTTTTTTTTGACAAAATGGCGGCTACTCAAAGCAAGAGGTTCGATTTTCGACCAAAATTCGGGTTTTTAATTGTTTATAAAAATAAGAAAAAGATTTTCATCGGATGGGGAAATCCTTCGATCAAGTTCTAAAAAATATAGTTAAGAAGCTTGTGTAAAAATTTCAGACCGATCGGTTCAGCCGTTTCTGAGAAATTTTGATCACCGACTTTGAAAACACCGTTTCGAGAAAAACGAGCTTAAAGTTTTGAAAGCACTTTACATGTAGTTAATTTTTTCACTAATGTGTAACTTCGAAAATATGCGTCGGATCGGCTTGAAATTTAGTGTGTGTATTCTCAGATACTCAGATTTTTTGTATTCTCAGACAC